TACCAGAATCAGGAAGAGAAGCGTCATCCTTCTGCAGGGTCCTTCCAGCCCCCTCTACTGACAAAGCTTAATATCAAATATTTAGAGGGTCCAGATCCAGTTCACAAATAGGGTAATGAGGGTGGATTTGGAGCTGAGAGGTAATACATTGATAACTGTCACGGCCTGTCCCTCGGGCTACTGATCTTTCACATCCATTCTTTTTTTTCTTTCTTTCTTTTTTCCAGACGGAGTCTTGTTCTGTCGTCCAGACTGGAGCGCAGTGGCGCAATCTGTGCTCACTGCAATCTCCGCCTCCCAGGTTCAAGTGATTCTTCTGCCTCAGCCTCTTGAGTAGCTAGGACTACAGGTGCCTGCCACCATGCCTGGCTAATTTTTGTATTTTTAGTGGAGGTGGAGTTTCACCATTTTGGCCAGGCTGGCCTTGAACTCCTGACCTCAGGTGATCCACCCACTTCGGCCTCCCAAAGTGCTGAGATTACACGCATGAGTCACTGCACCTGGCCTGTATGCATTCCTATATGCACATTTCAACTTCCAGACAACAGTGAAATGACACTATGTTTCTACCTAACAAGCTAAAGCTGTCCTTGAACAAGTGACGTTTTCATTACTTTTCCCAAATGAGACGATCCATAGTCCCAACAACCGCTGTATGAATCTCTGACTATATCAGCCACATTTCAAGTTCAGAGGAAGTTCTACTGAATATGCTGTTATATACAGACTAAATTATAATCTCCAATAATTTACATGTAAAATAATTATGATAAGAAAGAGAAAGAATAAAATGGCAGCACATACAAAGAAACACCTACATAAAATGAGCAAAGAGAAAATGCATAAAGCTACTACATTCCTTGATTCCAGACTTGGTCCTGGGCTTCAATTGACATAGACAGCTTCCTTCTCTTGTTACCTATTATATATTCTTCTGCCCTCAGCCACATCATTGGTGGATTGGGGTTACTTACCTGGTGGAATGACAAAAATCTTCATTCTCGAAGAGTCTGAGTTCTCAATAGTCATGGCTTTTAATTTGTTGCTGTAGGTTTCCCTTAACTTTTACTATTGGGCATGAAAGTGCCATTAAGCTCCTTAAAAAATCCCCTGGGTTTCAGATGTAGCTCTCTCTATATGTGTTGTATAGCAACATCTCAATTCTCCTTAGTAATCGGTATCGATCACTCCAGCCAGTAATTTCTTTTCCTACTTATTGGTTCAGAGGCATACGTTGGCTAAAATGGCCACATAGCAGTGTCATCTTTCAATGCAATGGAACCATTTTTTGGGGTCTCCTGGTAGACACATTCTTCCATTTAGAGAATAAGACCTTCAAACCAATGCAGCTCAAAGTCACAAAGACAAGAAGCAAAAATTATGATACTGGGCTACTGGTAATAAGAGTGAGACAATCCATTCTCAGGACCACTTCCTTGATGTCTTGACCCATGCATTCTAGCTATGGCAGGTGGGGGCTGGGGGGCAATACCATATAATGGTTTTTGATGTAAAGCAGATACTGCATCTTGTAAGATAGAACCTGATCTTTTCAGGGTGTCTTCAAACTGGTGCCATAGCTCAATCAACAAGCCATTCCACATTTCAACAAACACTTGTGCATTGTAAGATATGTGATAAGTCTATATGATTCCATAGGCATGTGTCCACAGATGCACTATTTTGCAGTAAAAATAGTTCCTTCATTGGAGTAAATGCTGTGAGGATTATTTTGATGGTGAATTAGGCATTCTGTAAGTTTATGAAGAGGAGGCCAGGAGAAGCATTGCATACAAGGAAGACAAGACAAATTCATAGGCAAGTATATGTGTCTATTCTAGTAAGGACATATCTCAGTCATCTCTATGATAGAAGAGCAATCAACAGGTGTCTGGTTGGTCCCTTGGGGCATGACACCATATGAGGAGCTCAGTATTAGTCTCTGTGATTTACAGATTAGACATTCAGCAGTAGCATTAGCTAAGTTAGCCTTAATAAGGGGAAATCCATGCTTTTGAGCTCATGCATGGCATTCATCCCTGCCAGCAGGGCCACTTATTTCATGTGACCATTGAGCAAGCACTGGGATGGCTGGGAAAAATGTTGACACATCCATAGAAGGCATCATTTTGTCCATTACAATAGTTTCTACCGCATTTGTTTTCTCTTGGTCAGTATTCACATTGAGCAAAATTATCTTGACAGTCTTTGTTCATTCTGAGAGGTCCATCAAGATACTGCTTTCCTAAATTTTCTTGTCATCATCTTTCAAGCCTATTCCTTCTAGGTCTTTTGCCATCTGGCCAAACCTTTAACAACTTCCCATGAATCATGCCTGGGATTACAGGTGTGAGCCACTGCACCTGGTTCACATGCATTCCTATATGCACATTTCAACTTCGAAACAACAGTGAAATTACACAACAGTGAAATGACAGTGAAATCATGAATCAGTGTAGATGAGCACCTCTGGCCATCTTTTACCAGATAATGTGGATAACCAAAATGTACCACTTG